GTGTGTGTGGGTGTGTGTGTGTGTGTGTGTGTGTGTGTGTGTGTGTGTGTGTGTGTGTGTGTGTGTGTGTGTGTGTGTGTGTGTGTGTGTGTGTGTGTGTGTGTGTGTGTGTGTGTGTGTGTGTGTGTGTGTGTGTGTGTGTGTGTGTGTGTGTGTGTGTGTGTGTGTGTGTGTGTGTGTGTGTGTGTGTGTGTGTGTGTGTGTGTGTGTGTGTGTGTGTGTGTGTGTGTGTGTGTGTGTGTGTGTGTGTGTGTGTGTGTGTGTGTGTGTGTGTGTGTGTGTGTGTGTGTGTGTGTGTGTGTGTGTGTGTGTGTGTGTGTGTGTGTGTGTGTGTGTGTGTGTGTGTGTGTGTGTGTGTGTGTGTGTGTGTGTGTGTGTGTGTGTGTGTGTGTGTGTGTGTGTGTGTGTGTGTGTGTGTGTGTGTGTGTGTGTGTGTGTGTGTGTGTGTGTGTGTGTGTGTGTGTGTGTGTGTGTGTGTGTGTGTGTGTGTGTGTGTGTGTGTGTGTGTGTGTGTGTGTGTGTGTGTGTGTGTGTGTGTGTGTGTGTGTGTGTGTGTGTGTGTGTGTGTGTGTGTGTGTGTGTGTGTGTGTGTGTGTGTGTGTGTGTGTGTGTGTGTGTGTGTGTGTGTGTGTGTGTGTGTGTGTGTGTGTGTGTGTGTGTGTGTGTGTGTGTGTGTGTGTGTGTGTGTGTGTGTGTGTGTGTGTGTGTGTGTGTGTGTGTGTGTGTGTGTGTGTGTGTGTGTGTGTGTGTGTGTGTGTGTGTGTGTGTGTGTGTGTGTGTGTGTGTGTGTGTGCGTGCGTGCGTGTGTGTGTGTGTGTGTGAACCTTTCCTGTTTTATGATGAATGTTGTTGTTCCATCTTGTGTTATTGTATTCTCTGGTTGAGACTTTCTATATATTAATTTATTACCTCAGAAAAGTTAGTGGAAAGATTGTTGGTTAAACAGATTGTAATTATTAGAGTTAAATGCATCTGTTAGCTTACCCAGTCTCGAAAAGTAAAATAATTCAGTAATTAAGTTATCAAGCTGTAAGAGAAGGGGAGAAGCAAGGGGGAAAAGGATAATGGGGGAGAGAGAGAGTATATTGACATGAAAGTTATGTTAGGGGAAGAATGGACCTAACTTAACATAGTCAAGTGAGAAAGAAATAAAAGAGTGACTATAAATGAAAGATAATTTCAAAAGATTTAAGTTAAGCAGTGCAATTTGTCTCTCCTTATTAACCTGTGATTATTTATTGTGTGTCAGTCTAGCTTCAAGTCTGCAGTAGAAGTGACCTCAGAGTGGTGATTACAGTACTCTGGTTTGTTACGAAAATTCAAAGCAATTATGTAATGTACAGAGGGATGGATCTATGGGGCCAGAACCCCCCCTATTCATCAGAAAATTCCAATACTTTTTCTTTAATGCAGTATTGTACTCAGACATTTTTGTATAGTAAAAAGTAATTACCATTGACCTCAGAATATCTCCTAATATCATGTGCACATAGCTTCAAAATGGCATCGAAATATCTGTAACTTTGCTCGCCATGTTCCCCCACCCACAACTTCTTGGATCCCCCCTTTTGATCTTCCTGGATCTGCCCCTGCTACTAGAACTGTAGTTATAATTCAGGGATGGGGCAAGGTGGAGAAGATGACAATGAAGTTATTGTATATACAGGTATCCCTCACAATACGAACGTTCAAATTACGAAAACTCGCATATACGAATTTCCTAAATTACCACCTTTTTTTTTCATGGTATGAAAGTTTTCCACCTTTTATGTATTTGGGTCCCAGCAAAAATTAAAATCGCATGCCAACGGGACTCGGCTGGCGTGACCACATCCCCCTAGCACTCTCCCGACCAGGCTGAGTTAAGAGTTATGTTATGGTGATTTTTAACTCATCATAATTTCAGGAAGATAAAAACAACTTTCTTATTTTATTATTTTTTTTTCTTTACTCAATTGCATGCATACACAATTCTACATATGTGCCAAAAAGGTAAATGAAATAACTACCATCAGGTCAAAAACATAAAGGTAATAAATATTTATTTTTATGTGATAGCCGGAGAGGGAGCATTGCGTACCCAGCCGGGCTGGGTTGCAATTACGAGGCTTGGGGGTGGCCACACATGATGTAGCCAGCATCTACTCAATTGGCGGCTGCATATTTTCATCTAGATAGTATTTTACTTATGTTTTTAATGTTTTAGGTAGTAAATTACAGTACAGTGACCCCTCGTTTAACGAACGCCTCGGTTAACGAAATTTCGGTTAACGAACTGCCTTCCATAAGGATCTTCAATTCGGTTAACGAACAAAAATTCGGTTAACGAATTTCTTACGAACCGACCTCAACATGTTTTCGCTTGCACTGACCGGGCAACCAGCTTTAGTATCAGTCCGCCAATACATTAATCGGTTCTAGGGCTTAAATTCCTTACTATTTTAGTAAATATCAAGAAGTTTATACTATTCAATAATTTTAAAAGTTTAATATTCAATTTTTTAGTCATTTTAACGATTATTGAACATAATTGAAGGTAAAGTGACTAGTTTAATGCGCGGCATCCAGTCTCTTAACACAGCAAACAGGCGTTAGTCTCTCTCTGTTTTCACTGGAGGAACATCTTGCTTGAGACTCTCTTCAACTAAACACTTTTTTTCTGTGTTTCCAAGCAAATTATTGGTCATTTTGAAATATATTTTACATATTGACAATATATAATGCAGTGCAGTGTTGATTTAAAGAAAATAATCTTGAATTACACCAAGAGAGCTAAAATTTTATGGGTGAAATGGCGCCATGGGGTGACTTCTCTTCCACCCCAATGCCTTTCTTCTTCCTTCTCCTCCACCCCCATTCTAAATCCCATCATCATCATCATCATCATCATCATCATCATCATCATCATCATCATCATCATCATCATCATCATCCAGGAGCCTTCTACAAACACACCTCAAAGTAAGTGAACTTTTCTACCATTTTTGTTGAATTTAGGAAATTTTCGGTGAGCTGGAACCAATTACCCAAAAACCCATTGAAACAATGGTTTCGGTTAACGAACTTTTCGGTTAACGAACTTTTCGGTTAACGAACGACCTTCTGGAACGGATTGAGTTCGTTAACCGAGGGGTCACTGTAGTTGTGTACTGTTTATCATTACCTAGACAGTTTTTTTTGTGGGGGGTGGAACTATTTCATGATTTTTGGAGTATGATATTGGGGTTTTCCTGTCATTGGGGAACCAAACCCTAATTTTCCCGTATTTTTTTTTATTATAGAAAAATTCACTAAATGAATGATTTTTCAGGAACCTAATCCATTTGCATAGCACGGGATACTTGTATAACTACACTGACAAGCTAAAAAAAGAATCTTAGTGAAACTGAGAATAAGCTTACAGACTCAAGAAGATTAACCTAACCTAAGTTTTCTTAAGTTGATATGACCTAAGTTAAGATAACCCATCCTGACCTGACTTAACCTAACCAATGACTTTGAAAGTGACACCTGGCTAGAATGATTCCCCATTCCTTTACAGTCAAATTGCATAATGATATCTATAACTTTTACATAATTGTTACCACCAATATGAAAATTTATGACATGTCGTCCATACTAAAGTACAGTCAGGAAAGTCTTCCTATTCAATATCACAGTAGTATCTAAATTGTTGTTTAATAAAAAAAATATTGTTGATAATATAACTGCTTCTTTGCTACTGTATACAGTTTTTCTCATATAAATGCAAAGGTATGAGAAGACTGTACTCACTTGATAACAACACAAGCCTGGGCATACCACTGCTGCCACAAAATTCCCATGAGTAATTAATAGCATAAGATATCAAGAGTTTTCCTGTTTATAATGTAATTCCCTAAAATGTCATAAGCAAGATTGGGTGATGAGTTTAGTTTGTAATCCCTTCTTTACTGGATGACACTTTTAATATTTCTTGGGCTAGTACCAGATGGTTTTGTTCAGCACAGCTATAGCTATAATTTTCATTATTGTATTTTTCTATTTGATAATATGAATACTCAAAATATCCTTAGAGCTTTGTAATTTTCAGACTCTTCAAGAGCTGTGCTTTTAGTTCCATGTGAGCGGCAGAGACATTCCAGTGCATCATCTCAAGGATCCCAGGATTCTCAAGATGCAACAGTTGAGCAGACAGCGATTGGCCCTTCCTCATCACACTTCACACGGCCTCCTCTTGAAGACAGGTATACAAAGGGGGAATAAATCTTTTATTTAACACATTTTATTATACATGATTCAGTGTCTAACTTGTGGTTATCTGGTAGAAGTGTTGTCAGTTTGTTATTTAGTTGGTTTTGAAATGTAGGAGGTTACTAAATTACTATGTATATATTTATGGATAGTAGTTGTGTTAGAAGTTGTTTCTGGAATACTGATGAATGTATGGAGGTAGTAGTGTGCTATAGTGCATTTTTGTTTGCTGGGTAGGGGATGCTTCACCATAAAATTGCAGGGTTAAAGGGAGTGTTGTACTGAGGCAAGGATTTGTGTGTCCTTGATTTTGGAAGATTTCATGATTCAAAATATACAGTAGGGTCGGGATACATATGTGATTTTTGTAGAACTTTTTCTTCTTGGGGGTTTGTCATGTCTTTTATTTTTAGCTGTTGATGGAACCCAGCTTCAGCTAACATAATTTATTGTGATGGTAATGAATAAGTATATTATCTAATGATGATAGAGTTGTGGTTATAGCACCAGATTTTGAGAATATGTATATGATGATGCATTAGTTCTAAGTTTTACATTTCATACACTTTATTTTTTTACCAAACATTACATTATTTAGAGTAACTTTCTCAAAATCACTTGTAATTGGTTTTTATTTTCAATGATACTCATACGCTTTATAAATTCCAAACTCCATTGTTGTTTGATTTTGTGTTTATCATTGGTACTTATTGTATTTATAATGTTGTTAGCTATATATGCATTTATCAAGTTATCATCATATACAGGTTGTACCTCTCTAGTCCGGCATTCTGTGGTCCGGAACGATTTTAGTTTGTCCAATAGGTAGATAGGCAGTTTTTTTTTTTTTATCTGAATTATTATTATTATTACAGGAGTATTAAATTTTTGCCCCTCAGGCCCCAATGTGGGTCAGTGACCTATGCCCGGGTGGGCTAATCCCCTTAAAAAAAAAAAAGCCGCGGGAAATTAAGGTTTGTTTACATCCGGCAGTTCGGCTGCTCTCTCTCTCTCTCTGCTTGTCTATACAGAGTACAACATTTAACCCTTCAATATATATGAGCAGTAAATAAGTGTTGCTTTCATATTCTTATGTAGAGTAATGACGATATATTTTCACATGTGCGCACTTACATACGAGCAGTCTCACTTTTTTTTTTACCATTAATGGTTAGCTACTTATATTGTTCCATTTATTAACATTAAATAACATTACAGGTACTTCAAGCAACCATATTCATTTTTTACATTAATTTTACTACAGCTAAACTCAGGGTCTTATTTTCTTCAGTTTTATATGTAGAACCAATCAGTCACTGGTTTCGTAAGCTTTAACATAAACAATGCCGGCAGCCGTCTCGTCTCCTCTAATATTCCACGTATTATTAATAAATTGTATTGTTAATTTTGCACACACGTACATTAATTCAATAAAAACAAATTCAGAAACATTAATTAAAATATATATGAACAGTAAATAAGTGTTGCTTTCATATTCTTATGTAAAGTAATGATGATATGTTTTCACGTGTGCGCATGCGCACTTACATATGCGATCTCTCTTTTTTCTTTACCATTATCGTTAGCTACTTCTATTGTTCCATTTATTAACATTAAATAACATTACTTAAAACAACCATATTAATTTTACTACAGCTACAACCAAGGTCTTATTTTCTTCAGTTTTATATGTAGAACCAGTCAGTCACTGGTTTTGTAATCAACGAAAACAATGCTGTGTCATTTCCTCGTGTGTTTTAATATTCTACGTATTATTAATGAATTGTATTGCTCATTTTGCACACATAAACATTAATTCAATAAAAAAGACATTCAGTAATAAACAATAATGAATCTTTTGTACACAAGAGAAATGACGCTGTTTACACGATTATGCACGTCGTCTGCACGTTGGCGGGCCGTTCAAACCCGTCGAAATTCAAGTTTCCGCCGTCAAAATTTTTATTTATTTATTTTTTTGTGTTCCAATAAAATACGTTAAGAATTAAAAACTCGCGAAATTTGAGAAGCTACTATACGACATTTAACCCTTTAATATGTCTTCAAAGAGACCATGACGCAGAGAAAGTGGTGCTAGTGCTTCCAGGCATAAGCACAAGTCACTATCTATCCAGGAAAAGGGTGAATTTCCATGGTCCGGCACCGGTCAGGTCCCGAGGTTGCCGGACTAGAGAGGTACAACCTGTACTGTACAATAAACCCTTGCTATTCACGGCTTTGTGATTCGTGATTTCGACTATTCGCGGTAAGCAGATAGCGGCTTGTTTACGAGCCTCTCCCGCGGTGCAACGAGTCTACCTCATGCTCCCATAGTGTCTCCTCTCCCTTTGTTTGCGCTCAACCATTGCCTGCGATGGAGCATCTCTTTTGTTGTACTCAAAACTTTAGTGTTTCTGAGTGAAATGGCCCCTTGTGTCAGTGCTAGTGATGCTAGTGGAGTGAAACGTACACTTCATGAAGCTCCAAACTTCTACATAGTATTGGTGACTTAAGTTTCTTATACACATTATAGGTACACAATAGTGCACCAAAGTAGTATAAGTTGCTATTCACAGTTTTCCCAATTTGTACCATTCCTCGGAACCTCACCCCTATGAATAGCAAGGGTATACTGTACTAATAACCATGTATAGGGTAAAGGTAGTCTGGAATGGAAGGTGATGACCAAAAATCGTTAATTTATGATATTCTGGATTTATAGGTGGAAGCCCAAGTTTTTGAGAATTATTGATGGAACAACAAAACCAAGAAAGCTCTCGTCCTATAAACGTTTTACCATTGTCCAATGCATTTACTTTACTGGCCTTGGTAGTTTCAACAAAAAATATTGTATATTTCCATTCCAAAGTATTTATTCAAGTCAGTGGAGAATATTATTGGCCAATACAACAGTTTTTAACTAAACCATTCGGCAAGTGCGGTAACATCTTTTGAGCAGAGTGCATTGTTTTTAAATCACCGATTTTATCCACTTTCCTGTAATAAATGCGTAATTTCAGGAAAAAATGTTACATTTCGTCGAATGTGGTATATCAAGCACAGTATAAGACAGAATATCATGCTGATATAACAATTTTTAACCGAAAACTATTAAGCGAATAACATCTCCAGGTATCGGGCTTAGGTGAAGTCTTTTGTTTTTAGTCATATATTTTATCCTATTTTACATTGAAATACATCACGTTTTAGCAAAACTACGGCTATTTCGAGAATATATTCATTCAGGCACAGTTTAGGTAAAATGTCGTGTGATCTTAATGGTTTTTAGCACAAAGCGATTCCCGAAAAACCGCGTTTTTCAAGCCTGTTCAAAGAGAGGACTGGGGCTGTTTGGTGCTGCGAAACATTGACCAGAAAGAAAATGATTTTGATAGTTTAATGAAATATTCAAATATGGTATCGTAATATTTATTCAAGTCAGTCAGGATATTGGCAATACCAATACTTAACAGTTTTAGCAAACCGTCGAAAAGTGATTACGGTAGCATCTTTTGAAGCGACAAAGCGAGTCGTGTTTTCATCTGGTGCATCACTTTCTCCACTGTGTCGTATGTCATTTCAGCAAAAATACATTTCCATTGAGTGTTATATCAACCACGGTATGAATGAATATCACTAATATAACGATATTTTAACGAAAATAATAAAAATGCAGTAACATATCATGAACGCCAGTTGGTGCGTCTTTTTGTTTTCTCATGTAGTTTATCTGGTACATTGAAAATACATCACGTTTCAGCAAAACTACTATTTATTTCTGAATATGGAAATATAATATTTTGCAGAAATAGCGTGCATTATTATAAAGATTAAGAAGAGGTGGGGATAAATCGTGACTTTCAAGCTGTATTTCGCTTTCTTTTCGTTCACAGATGTTGCGTAATACGCTGAATGGTTTTCGGTTAAAACTGTTACTATTAATATTCTATCTAATTCACTTGTGATGTAAAAGTTTTAACTAAGCTTGGATTCCAGCTGCGATGTACGATCTAGCTTCGTCTGGCGAAACCCTGGTGGGTGGAAGCTTTGTGTTTATCGGCCTTCAGCAGCTTTAATTTTTAGCGTCTGGTTGAAGTGTGTTTCGGTGTATTCTTATTTTTCTTGCTTCTTATTTTCAGAAATATGACAAGTTTTTATATATACAATGTTACGAACAATTTACAAAGTATTCATTTCATCTGAAGACACTTTCAAACAAATACTAGTGGGATATTTGCGTGACTCTGCTTGAAAAATTAAGCCTTTAGTACTCTCTCCCTCAGCCTACAAAAATATTAACATCTTTCTTGTTTAGACTACTCTTCCAATTTCTCACTAACTGGTATTTTTTACTTCATATTGCCATCAGATAAACTACAGTAGTGAGGTTGGAAAATATTATTATAAATTGATTACGGGTCTGTGGTACGTTAGGAGACTTTTTGACCCTACCAACAGTGTTAGTCAGACAGCATTTTTTTTTTTCATTTTTGGTGTCTCATTTGTTATTTTTCTGGGTTTACTGGATACTGTTTTTGCGTATTGTAAAAACGATTTGAAAAAGAAATACTGGGTAACTTAAAATTTTAAGGAAAGGTCTGAAACTGTAGCACTAATGTGAATGATACAACTCACATCATATTGATGTTTCAAGTTTAGGTAACAAAATTTATCATCTACAATGGCTTTTAAAATAGACTTCCTTGTTTTACATACTCCTGTGCATACCATACCATGCATTTGCTTTACTTTGAACACTATGATGGCCCCAAAGTCTTATCCACAGCAGCAGCACCAGAACTCTGGCGAATTGGTCGCGTTGATTGCATCGTTCCATTGTTTTAGGCAGTTTATAAGTAAATTTTTTCAACCCTAACGAAACTAACCTGTATAAAATTGACTTTGTTTGCCAAAAATTGCAAAGATTATAAAAGAAGCAGTCTGCTGAATATACATTACCTGAGGGTGAATATGATTGAGTGATAACTTATCA